ACGGCTAGGTCACGAGTTCCAGAACATTCGCACTCCGTGAAGGTCAGTGGCATCCCTTTCTCCATCTGAAGATGTACTATAGCACTAGGAACTCAATGGCCCTATGGTCCTTAAAAAGTATACCTTTGTGTAGATACTGAAATTGGCTCCGCTCAAAGGACAACCGGCTTGACAAGGCGAGTAAAAGACGTCTCCTCTGGAATTCAAATAATATTTTTGATTATCGCCAAAAAAAAACTAAAGCATTAACGTTTTAGTTGGAAGACACTTTCGCTCTCAGTTTTTTGGAAATCTGAAATATTTAGGAATAAATATGACTCGCTTTCTATTGCAAACAGGATAGAAGGGCATTCCGTCACAAACGCAATCCTTTCGGCATGAGGGAAATGAGAAGTTGTTTGCTCTGAAATGTTTGCAAAATTATCTTTGAACAAGGGAACACCTCAGTCCTCTTCCCGATTTTTTCTAAACAGCACTGCTTCCTAAATTTTTAAATCCCACTCTCCACGACTCCACGGCACGTATCGTTGAGATGCACTAATTTATCGCGGAGAGCCAAGAATTAGCCCGGCAGTAGGATGTTTGCCAAAACTCTGCTGTAGAAGCGTGAAGCTAATATAAGACAGAGGTAGAAATCTTTGAGGACATTCCTCCCCAGCTGCGGGCATTTTGTGCCTACAGCCTAACCATCTGTGCCACTATAGTCTCTATGAGTGGAAGCGTCACTTCATCACATTCCCATAAGATTTCACGAGTTTCCTTCCATGCGTCTCTCATCAAGGAAGAAGAATAAAATTTTGCGTCAATCAATCCTTCGGGGCGCGCCACGCATTCCACGTTCATTCAGAATCGAATTGACATTTGAATGCGACTTGGCCTATTCAATGAGTTCGTGGGGGATAGAAAGACGATTTTACTTAAAGGAATCTTGCGCGGAAAAATCATGATTCTATTTCAGCCATAAATCACTGGCTTGAGACTCATTATCCACGATAATAGTGAAAAGAACTGAAGTATTGCTTTCGTTTTGATTAGAAATTCGAAAACTCGAAAAGGCTGCTACGCGTTCGAATTGCCCACGGACGTCTTTCACGAATGCTGGCGACGGGGATGCTCAAACTTGGTTCTTGGAGTGCATTCACTAGAAGCTCTTTCTGGCCTTCTGCTTCGTTGCATTCACATCTTACACTTCTACTCCATCCTATTCCATCGATCGATTTGTCTCCACTCTCCGAAATCGCGCGCTTTAACCCGATTCTCTCATTGCGTCGCCTGGTACGTAGCCGGCCAAACGCCGTCTTCTTTCCATGCCTCGCCTGGCTCTGCCTCCTGGTCCTTCGATGGTCCATAACGTGTAGTTTTTGTACGTTTTTTCTCTTCAGAAACCGAATCTTCATGCGTGAAACTTTGTGTGCTATTTCCAGTGATCACAACTGACATATTCATGTTAGGAAAGAGTGCAAGAATTTTCCGCGCAAGATTCCTTTAACTTTACCTGTAGAATTCCGATCGTGAACTTAAGAATCCATAATAAAGAAGCTGACAGTAAGGAAAAAGCAAAAGTGTTCTGGGGTTGTTGTTCGTATAACTTCGTATAAACTTTTGAACAAGCAACAGCCGGAACAAATTGGTGGGGTGTCAACGGTCAATATGAAATTTTGGACGCCGAACTGATTGAAAATAAAAAAGATGTCAAGTAAACTGCCGAGGAAAAGATTTACAAGTATCCCTTCTCGTCATTCTTGAAAATTTGGTAGGGGCGGAGCCGGACGAGTTTCTCTTAAATTTGCTGCTCCCCAACTAGCAACGCCTTGATTCGACAGTTAGGAAAAAAGATTTAATAGGTCGAAGAAGAAGCACCTAGCCGAGAGACCGGCGGACCTCCTCAAGGTCTTACTGACGCGCAATTGGCACCGAAAGATTCGACTTCGGCGACGTAGCAGGGCTCATTCTTGGCGCGGTCGGGGGCGGGGGGGAGTCCGCCACCGACCATCTAATCACTCGCCCCAGGTCTATACGTGGCGAATGATTAGATAAGTGAGAGAGCCGTAGTGCTTGAAGAGGGCACAACGATGAGAGTCGCATCAATGCTCAAATCAACGGGCAAGGAAGGGGTACCATTTCTCGGGTTCTGGGCCGTTTCTCATGGTTCTTCCTTCTTTCGTGTACCACTCACCATCCCTAGGTTAATTTGAAATGGGTTGCTTTTTCATCGTGAATTCGTCCTTTAATTAGCCGCAGCGGCCACGTTGCGTGTCATGTCGTGTGTACGAGATATCTCGTCCATAAGCTCATAGTGGATCTCCCTAAGCTCACTTTGTAAAGCGATAGCACCATCGCCGCGCATTTTTGAGTTGCGCCAACGGTACATCTGTGTAATCTGCATACCAATCGCCACAGAATAGATTCTCTGACGGCCCTAACCTAGGGTTGTTGCTTCAACAAGGAACTTTCATAATATCTGGTCATTGCCTTGTATGGCATGCGCGACACAGGAGTGCGTGCCGAATGAGACCGACAGCGAAGGAACGAGGAAGGATGGAGACTGGAGATGTGACTTAGTCATGGGATTCATTTTAAGGTGGACATTGGGGGATTATGCAAGCTCAGGGGCTATGAGCTTTCGCACGCATTTTGGAGCCATGAAAATGGTACAAGCGCTTGCGATCCAGTCTATCTCAAAATCAAGCCTTGCTGTCAATCATAATTTGCGATCGTGGCCTTTCAAACCCTTTACTTTTGATGGTATGATATGTATTTTGAACAGCATACATAACTCACACGCCCTGGTCTCCAATCTGTCCGATCACAGATTTGCATCCGACAAAGCCATTTGCAAAAGACAACAAGGCAGCCACTAGTGAGCAGACGGCGCATGTAGCAGCCTTCTTCTAATAGAGATCTATTGTCGGCATGACTCAGGTGAAGATTCATTCAAGACGAGAATCGCGACAAAGTGTGTTCATGACAAAGAAAATGTGTAACAAAAAGGCTACAGAGGAGGGGCGGGGGTAAAACCTACTCGGCTGGAGCTTTCGCGGCGGAAGACATGGCGCTGTCAGTTGCGTAATGAGGCGTCAAAGGGTATCAAAGACTCACGTCGGTTTCCCCCGACCCGCCCACCACCCGGCACGTCGAAAGGAGCGATGACAGCTCATCGTCGAAATGGAAACCCTAACCACCAGCTGTTTAATTTTGTTTATTCTGCAGCTGGTTGCACCAGGGCGTCGGCATGCTGCTTCTCGCCGCATGAGGTGACGCCTCGCGCGCCCATACGGATGTGCTAACTGCATTGCCACCGGCAGGAAAATCCCCAGGCAGAAGTGCTATGTTTACGATGCACAGCGGTGGTGTAACGGCATCCTCCCCGACAGGAGGAAATCCCATCCCGGTAAATTATGCTGTCCCTGACAGCTGTCAGGGAAAGGCGAGGCCCACTGGTTTCGGGGATCGATTGACATGCAATTGGGGAGATACCCCCGAGCCTGATTCTCAGTGTTTCTGGTGAGTTGCTTTTTGTCTATTCCGCTCCTCTTTTTTCATTTTCATTCAAAATAACATATCTACCCGACCATGGGATGTACGCCGTTGGTAAGGTCATCCTACTTACTATAAAGCGCTTCGTCTGTCGTCTGTGTCTGTGTCTGTCGTCTGTCGTCTGTCTGTCTGTATGTCTGTCACGAAATTCCCTAGCTCCTCGGGATCCGCCTGGAGGGACCGGGTCAAGTGTGGGATGGGTGGGCAAGGTCTCACGTAATACAAAACACACATCAGCTAAGCGGAGCCCCGCCCACAGAGGGCGTGGCGTGCGTCGAAATGAATTGTACCGAAGACCAAGATTTCGATTTCAGTGACAAAACGACCTCGAAACTGGGCCAAAAAGTGGGTAAGGTGTGCATTGGTAAGTCACATCGAATTAGGGAGACCCACCCCCGGTGGGCGGGGCGTTCTCTAAAAAAGCAGTGCTTTATGAAAAATTTCATAACTCGGTTGGGAGAAAGCCTACAGAGCAGAAAACAATTTGGTGTAAGGGAGCAATGTCTAAGGTGTTTCCTGCATACATGACGTGGGCGGAGGCCCGCCCAGAATGGGCGGGGCGCGCTCTGAAGTGTACAGCATTTTCTACAAGCCCTCATAATTCGGGTCGGGGAAGTCTTAAAGAGCCGGAAAAAGGTGGATAGAGGTGTATGGAGGAGTGGAGGCCAGCTGTCATCGGTGGGCGGGGCTTGACCAAAGTGGGCGGAGTTTGCGACGAAAATTCATAACTCGGCTCCAAGAAGTCCCGGAGGCCGGGAAAAGGTGGGTGGAGGTGGGTGGAGGAGTGGAGGCCAGCTGTCAATGGTGGGCGGGGCTTGACCAAAGTGGGCGGAGTTTGCGACGAAAATTCATAACTTGGCTCCAAGAAGTCCCGGAGGCCGGGAAAAAGGTGGGTGGAGGTGGGTGGAGGAGTGGAGGCCAGCCTCAATGGTGGGCGGGGCTTGACCAAAGTGGGCGGAGTTTGCGACGAAAGTTCATAACTCGGTTCCAAGAAGTCCCGGAGGCAGGGAAAAGGGTGGATGGAGGTGTTTGGAGGAGTGAAGGCCAGCTGTCATTGGTGGGCTGGACATGTTCAAAGTGGGCGGAGTTATCAACGAAAATTCATAACTCGGTTCCAAGAGGTCCTGGAGACCGGGAAAAAGGTGAACTGAGTCCGTCAACGAAAGGGAGGTCAACTGCCATTGTTCGAGAATTTACGCCGCACCACCCCATATCGCTGCAAAACTGTGCTGTGCGCGCAACGCGTGCGGCGCCAACTGGTTTTATAAAGTAAATAGCGTTCATAACAATCAAAAAAAACTCCAGCTTCGACTGGGCGGGACCAAGATTGTCCTCTGGAAGATTTCAATATTTCGATACCTTGTAAATGGAATTTCCTCATTGCCACACTTCCTGTAAATTACTCCACAAGCCAAATCCAACGCACGGCCTAGTGCAGCTAAAAGAAAACAGCTTTCCTTGTGAGGTTACGCTTTCTTCTGAGGTTTTTACAACAGAATAAGGATCATGGGATAATTTTAGAATCTGCCAGCAAGTCCATCTGAATCATTCTATTGTGCTATCGAAGTGAACTTAAATTGCATGAATAGCAATTAGTCACTTCATTTTATATTGATCAAAACAAAAATCCAAAGGGAGCAATAGTATCAGATGCCCCTTATTCTACGGCCTTACCTAGGTATTTTTGAATCCGATACTGCGGCACGCCGAATTGGATTTCCAAGTATTTTCCAAGAAACACGAAGAACCTGAAAAACAATTCCTAGGCTAGGATAGTGGTCCTTTAGATATACGCATATGGTTGTTGTTAAACGCTCATACCTAAAGCGATAATTTTGACTGACAGTAGAGAAAAAACACGGAGGTTGAAATGCTCCTCCAACCTACCTGCTTTAACGCCAGACATCACGATTCGTCGAGGGATCGACGCAACGTAGATCGGATTGCGGAATAGTAACCGAACAGTTGAAAAGAACTCTGAATATTGGCATGTTCTTGTCTTTAAACGCAGAGATTCTTCGAGAGGGTCTCATCCAGTTAAGGGGGGCATGTGGTATGACAGCTCTTGCCGGCTACAGGAATTCCAATTTTTGCAAAGGGAGAGGGTCCCCGGGGTGCGTGAACCATTTGGCTTAAACTCTACACCCCACCTAACAAAATTGGACTACTTCATGCAATATGAACTGTCAGACCATATGCCCACTTACTGGAGGAGACCTTCCTAACATTCATTTCCTTGTTCGGATTGCGACCCCCGGGAGTGGGAGGGGGGCATGTGGTGCAAAAATCCATCGCGCCTACATTGGTTCCGATTTTTGCAGGGAGTAACTTTGAGTTGGTGAACGCATGCGCAAGCGTTCAAGCATTCTGGGACTTCCTCCTCCTCCCCTCCTCCATCATGAGAAAAATTGGAACCACAGCAAGCGGGTTACCCAACAGGAGGCCGCCTCCATCGTGCGGCAAGGCGCCGTCCAGCCCACGGGTCACAGCAGGGTGAAAATCGTGTCGAGTACGTGGTCGCAGAGGTACGACCCCCCCCCCCGAAATCGAGATCCTGGCACGACCCCCTCTAACAGAGCAAATTAATTCAATTAAAATAAATCCTGCAAAACAAAATCAAAAAAAATCCTGCAAAATAATGTTATGGACGCCTCATCTTGTCATCTATGCACTGTCTTTCATCGCTGCACACTTTTGTGTATTTACTGAAATATCGACTCGAGGAAAGAGGCATTAACTTTGTGTGACCTCAAAGTCAGGTTCGTTCAGAAATGCACAGAAATCCTGAAGGCACGGGGTTGCGATTCAATCTTGATTCTTGCTTGAGTATATCAAAACAGCCGAGTGTATCAAAGGCCGATTCAACGGCAGCTGCGGCGCGATTGTCACTGGGTCAGATTTGCTGAAATCCCGAAAAAAACCGTCGAAATCTACACCCTCGATGAAAAGGTTGCATTCCTCCATTTCATAACCTTTGAAGCAGTTTGAGGTAGGGTTAGATAGAGCTGGATTTCGCGTTTCCAAGAAGTATTGAAATTGCTCTGAAAGCCTTCCATGCAGAAAGATAGGGTCTCTCAAATTTCGTCGAGTAAATGTCGAGGACGCTGAAATTTTCACGCGAGTTTTTGCCACTTCAAGAGCAATATCTCTCTTATATTGTAAGATCCTGAAAAAGGGAAGATAGTTTTGGAAAGCGGAAGGTTTGCGCTTTCTGATGGTCTTCTTAGCTTTCTTCTACATTTCCTAGTTGAGAAGATATCTGCGTCGAGTATGTATCGAGGACGGATCCGGCCACCTGAAAATCCGCTCCCTCCTTCACCATTGCAAGTGTGATTCGTTGGCAACACTCGGAATGTGTCTAGAACAAATCTTTCAACGCAAGCAATAAGAATAGGGGCAATCGTCATCATCCGATTTGGTATTGGTATAAGCCATGCATCCCCTCCTCCACTCACAGTTGCAGAATCGATTGAAAGGTGTTATATGATGGGGACCTTCGAACGAAACTGTATTGTAGTAGACATAGTGTGTTGTGCTATTCCTGTAACCTAAAAAACAACTTCATTTGCCCAGCGCTTTTTCTTCACGGTTGTCGTTTTTGCGACAGGGTCCCTAACAACAGTGTCATTCTCAGCGAGGTATTAAGGGAGAAGGAGCGAGCGATAGGCAGAGGAGGTGCCTTTGCAGCGCGTGCGCACATGTGGCAGTCTTCTTTGCGGGGATGCACTTTCATTCTTTGTACTGCCTTCAAATACGCCCTTCTCATGAAGGTGGAGGAATGGAGCGACTGAACCTGCAAAGAAAATTTAATATCATGTTTTTTTCAGATGTTTTCATTTTCTGCTGCGCTATACCCTATTACCTATCTGCACCATGATACCACTGCTGTTACTGACCCCCAAGAGTACGACCCCCATGGACCCAGCCCAACAGGTACGACCCCCCTGTCGAGGATTTCCTCGACCGATATTCACCCTGTCGAGCGCGTGATGTGCGATGAAGGACGTGTAAAGGGACATTCTACTAACTTGACGCGA